GGGCTTTTAGCAAAGACGAGACCAAGTCGAAGATTCGAAAAATCGATAACGTACCGGCAAGATGTGGTAAAATATTCACTGATCGGTGGAACGTTGGATGTGCTCTTCAGTTTTATTCTTGGAGGTTTAACGTAGTCTGTTGCGTTTCAAATAAACAGAGCAAAATTCTGACAATTCAACGAATTACCTACGAACAATGCGTGTTAAATGTCCATTTCACCTCAATGATGGATAATCGTCGTCATTCCCGAGAGGGCGCGTTCATTGTCGTCAGTCGGTGATGGTTTTGCCTGAGGAAACGAAACGCAAAGAATGGAACAACGAGAAAGTGTCTTACGTCCTCGGATTTTTTGCAAGCTTCCCTAGAGGGTGTCGCGAACTCGCTCGGATCATCAGTTAATTATCCCCTTACATTCCTCCGCGACGCGATTCAAAAGAAATTGAACGCTTTTGCATTTTCTATTCGACTATTTGTCGCCACGTTTCGTTTCTTCTCCATGAAAATGTATGTAAAGATTGGCAGCCTTTGTAACAACGACGCGTGGACGTACTTTAAACGTTATTTGATTAAAACGTATTTTGACGCCCACGCATCCATAGATTCCACTGGCAAAGAAGCAAACGCACGAATAACAAGAAGATAAAATTAATATTCCCTCCCTCGGACTTTGGTTACTCGACACGAGGGGTGGGAACCACCCCTTCGAAATTCGGTTCATCATGAATTTTTCGATCGGCCAATTCCCAGCTGCGTCCAATATGAGATTCGTCCCCGGCATACGAGATTTTTTTCTCCTTCTGGCTGCTCCTAGCGGCCGCAGCACACCCCCTGGCCCAGTTTTTTGCCGGCTCGTTTCGGTCACTCGCGATTCTCGGCTTCTAGCCTAGCCTAAGTTAATATTAATGGGGATATTTATGGGCGCGGGTCAACGGTGGTCACCGCCAGAGCACCACTGATAAAAGGAAATCTGAAAATGCCATGATTTATGAGCCCCAACCCCTCCTTTCCTCCTCGTCGCGGTATCGAACTTCCCTTAAACGCTGAATAAGTTATGGAGGGAGCTGTATTCTTACTTCGATCCGAGTACGTGAGCTTTTGGTCTCCATCTCTCTCCTCCCCTACGCAGTAATTTGGAAATACACGAATCACGCGTGAAATTAACGGCTTCTGGACGAAATCGACGATTAAACGACGATTTGGGTTCTTTGGTTGGCTCATGGTGAACTTTGCTTTTGGGGGATGATAATGTGGTCTCTGGAAGAGGATATTTCAGTGATGTCGAGTGTATATTTCTCTATTTTTTCCAACAAGTTGAAATATTTTTATCGCTCCTGAGAACAGGAACTCTGAACACTTGTTAGCCAAGCTTCTGTTTGTTGACGTCTGGCAGCAACCACTGCCAGTGGTTGTTTCTCTTCATCTCGACAGCAGATGACGCAGGGAAGAGTCGCTTTTCGTGGTGAGACATATGGCGTGGCTTTCGAGAGAGAGAGGTCGCTTTATTTCATCGAGCAGAAAGTGTCTCGGAGTATTCTGAGAACTACATGTATAGCTGGAACCTCTAACGAATATCTCTGAATTATTCATGCATCCATTTTAAAAAGACCACTCTAGTACTAAAAGTACTACTTAATTTTCCAAGAATCCAGTAATCATTCCTCGATACAATTAAAAAAGATTAAATAACGAGGCGAACGTCTATGAAACATTCACTCGCATTGTTTCCAAGCAGAGAAGAGCACCTTCATATTTTAACTTGGGTTTGGTTCGTTGAAAGTAATGAATATTTAAATAGGCGTTTGACCGCGTTTACCTTTTCCACTGAACTTTATATTTCCGGGTTCCAGCGAAGGCGGTATTACGACTGGAAGGAGTGGTCGTTCGCGAAGGAATGAGCTCGTTCAACGCTCAGCCGTTTCATTGATGTCAGCCAAGCCGTTTCGCTGGTAATTGCTCGTATTTTTTGGCAAACCGTGATCTATTCTTACCGTTGGTAGCTTAGGATTCGCTGGAAGGAATGCGAGTCCTCTTGCCCACTATTTCTATCTCTTCTTAGTTACATTCCTTTTTGTTTCTATTACATGGACTGCTTGGTAACTGGTAATATAGGTGAATATATATGAAAAAAATGAATAGAAAATACAGAATAACATCTTTTCGTAAGGGTTTTTGTTTTGGAGACAATCAGACTAACGCGTCTGTCTATAACTCGTAAATTCTACTTACCCCACACTTTAGTCAGACTACAGCAGTAGAATAACCATGCATATTTGGAATGTTATGCCTAAGCATTAGAACCTTTAATCTACGCTATACTATTTACATAAAAATGAAAGGAAAGATGGGCGCCACCGTCTTGAGCGGGTTAATGCGTTCCGTCCAATTATGCGTAGGCGCATCTGTAGTTGGGTCGCAGCGCGGTCTTATTGCGCTGACGAAACGTAAAGGAGATATTTATGGCTGTGTACACGTGTTCCCACATACACTCCGATCTATATTTGGCCGCGCGGCTAACCCTGAATTCCTGCTTCAGTTTCTCGTGCGAGCGGTGCGGTATGCCAGCATCTACAGGTTGCTCCCTGGAACAAGTGGTCTTGGGTGCGTGCCGATAATACCAGACGCGTGGATCTCGTTAATCTCTTATAAAGATTCCACCAAGATTTTACTGCGCGCCCAGCGACTTTTTTCTGGCGCAGCTTCTAGGATAAGTATAACGTATGGTCGACCAGGTGACGCGCGACTCGTTCAGGTAAAAGATCCCTGGTAACCTGGACGTTGATACTTTAAACGGCATGCTCGTACATCTAGAGTTTGAATCAGTCTGTTTTCGATCGAATTATTTCTATTAACTCGGTTGTATCTATCTTGAGAATCTTGAGAATCTTGAGAATCTCTATGTTTACATTAAATAATTTCCATTTCAAGTTTCCATTAAAATTTGTGTACATCGATTTCGTGATACCGGTTCGAAGTTAGCTGTACATTTTTCTCTGTACGGCTTCGAACCGATACTTTGAAATGTCCTGTCCATCGAATACCACCGTTTTAAAAACAATGAAAGTCAATGGTGCCAACTTCCTGGCAGGCTCGAGACACCGTGTTTTCGAAGAGATGCGTCACGGGTCCGTGTCGCTGATAAGGTGTCGAAAAAGGCCGCGGTTCGCCGCAAAAAACATTGGCCTCTGCCTTTAAACGCCTTCCGACGCCTCGCATGCATTATGCACCGGCGTGCAGCTCGCGTTGCACGCCGTCTTTCGCTGAGAGCGTATCCTCGCGTTTCACCGCGCGTCGAAGAGAAAAAATTTATGTTAACCAGAGCACCGCGAGTCTTCGCTCCGTTGTCGAGAATTAAGACATTCCCTGGCTAATAATTTTCATCCTCGCTTCGACGGAAATATTTTGTCCGTTCTTCGTTAGCTTTTCTTTCCCCCTCATCGGCTGTCACTCAATCCTTCTAAAATGTCTTAAATTGGAAAATTCGTGCGAATTAATTTTACCGTAATATCGATGGAACTTGGAGTTCAGATCGGACGAATTTTCACTAAAATTGATTAAAGTTTTGAAATATCAAATTTTCCCGTGGTCAATAGGTGTCAGGCCGGAGAAATGGCGCGCCCCAAGGTGTGCTGCTCGAGAAACCCACCTCTACAATTATGAGCCATACCACGTCGAACCGAGCCTCGTAACGAACTCACTATATTGCCGAGCATTTCAAAACTGGCCGCGCGTAGACGCTCTTTACCTGGCCTCTCTGGACCCCTCGGTGCCCCTGTTCACGACTCGGGGACGGGACGGGCCCTGCTGTTAGGCCTGAGAATAATGTTTCGGAGATGAAAGAAAGAAACTTCGGGGAACTCGTGGTGCACGGTGCATTCCCGATGCTGGTGACCTCGATCCAATCTTCTGGGACGTTCCTTGGCTTCAACGAACAAGGTTTCACTCTTGAGTCTGCAACGAAAGGGTTGCTGATAACAGATTTTGATTAGGGTTGATGGATAGAGTCGTTGAAATCGAATGCAAGTATCTTTGGGAATTTTTAAGATGGACCTCAATCAATGAATTATAAATAAGCTCCAAAACGAAAGTTGTGTGTTCTTATGAATTATGGTGGACGAATCCCCAATTGTCACCGCCGGAAGACCCGTCTCGAGCAGCCTAAGTGCACGGTGAATCTCTGGGATTCCTTCGGTCCAAAATAAATCATATCGCAGAAGATGCCACGGCTAGCAGGAAACAGCGACCAGATGTGGCCCTGCTATAGGAGACATGTGTGTCCAGGCCATCGGATGACACTCTCTATATTTAGTTCTGTGGGAAAAAGGGGTTCCAGAGACATAATTACACCTACGCGATACCCACTCGTCGTTTTAAGAAATCGTTTCCTCTCGATCTAACACCGATCAGCGGATAATATCATCATTGATATTTTTCCCAGACCTCCTCGATTTATTGCGTTGTTGTTAGTTTGTATTCTCATAGCGGAATGGTCGAATTTTTAATGTAACCACTCATTTTTAATAATCACCTTTTAATGACTCGACTTGGAAAAGAGTTAAGTTTTTTTTTTAGCGACTTATACATAAGTATTTTGTATTGTTACAAACATCTGACGATGCACGAGGGCGAATCAAGGGATTCACGTGGCTCCAGTTCCATGTGGATCCTCGTGATCCCACGTGCGATCCACGAAGACGCGTGGGAAGACGATCGTACGAACGTCGACAGCTGTTCACACATGTCCTTTATGTGCATCGCTAAATATCCGTGGCTCTTTTGCTCTCTTTTGATAGCACTTTTCAACGAGGATCGTGAGATTTTGTGAGGAAGATACAATTATGTACTCGCAAACCCTATTCTAATTTACTTCGATACGAACAAAATATTATACGTATTCTGTTTAAATAGTATTTTTCACCCACGCACAAACAATGACAATCTTTTTTCTAAAAGATCGAAGATATGTCGAAGATGATCAAAGGATATTTTCGTCTGCTTTCAGATCGACACGCCGATAGAAAACGAGGCTGACGTCACGGCGGACGCGAACAATCCCGAGGTCACCTCACCGGAAAAGGGTTTCAAGGGTAAGTAAATGACCCCTTCGAAATTATACCATACTCGTCCAAACACTGATTACCATGCAACGTATCGCCCCGTAGAGAATCCTCGCTTTACACGCTTTAAAAACCATCCATTCGCTCTAGTTCGCGTATCTCTGTATAATTTCACCCGATTTCACGGAATTGTTTCTATAGAATTTACAATTCAACGTTCGAGGCTCCTTCGTTCGTCGAATTTTTAGGCTTCACAGCTGGAGCACTTGGTACACGTTATTGGTCAGCTCTATATAGAAACGCTTTGGAATTACTGGTTAAAATTAACGCCAGTCTACATTAGGAAGTTGCAAGCAAATATTTATGGTATACAGTGATAAGTGGAGCAAATAATTGTTGAGGATGAGTTTTTATTGTGTTTCAAAAAACACGAAGCCATTTCACACGGCAATCTTCATCGACATCCAGCACCTCTGTACGCCGTAAAAAATTCTAAGGAAAAAAGTGCATCCACTCACCGAAAGACAGCGTTTGCTCGTCCACGAGAATCGGATGCCGTGGAATCAAGTGTTCCCGGCAGCGCGGTGCTCGAATTAAGTCGGCCGCGTTCAGACGCTCGTACAGATCTTGAACGAAACCAATCCACTTAACTCTCATCCCCAAGAAACCCAGCCCTTCCTCCGCCAGGGAAGAAGGAAGGTCGCCGAGGTTTTGTTCTCGAACAAAAATCTGACAAATATGCCGCGATTTACCGAAGAATGGAGGCGAAGTGCAGCCACCCGCCCCTTTCTCCACCCCAAGAGATCCACAATCCCCTCCAGGCCGTTTCTCCGTGGCCGTGGAGGGCGGCGAGCAAAGGGTGACTCTTAAATTACTTAGACCCGAACAAAACGTAACAAATGACGGCGAATCGGGCCACTTATGCGATATTGGCCCATCACTGGCACCCACGTATATTGATACGTCGCATTAGGGCTGCCAAACCACCACCACCTCTCGACGTCTTCGTACGTGTCACTGCGAGGGTGAGAATTTTGCGTGGCGTTTTTGCGCTTCTCGACGGAATTCCGTGGCCCTTGACGGTGTAATTCATCGTTTCTTGTCTTGCATTTCTGTTTGGTTGACCATTAGACTTGAATTACATTTTCTTCGCAGACATTCTTGTTTTTTAAGGAAAAACAATTTCTTTTCCAAAAGATCGTTCCAAATTTTGTTAAAAAAGAGAATGTAACGAAACAAGAACGGGATTCAAGTATCTATTTCTCGTTTGTTTCTTGATTTCTATTGCTACCGCTGTTAGTTTTACTTCTAAAGTATCTTTCACTTTTCGAATTCTTCTTTCTTCGCGCAAAAGTATTTCCGGTGAACACTCGGAGTGTTTCTCACGGGGTTGGAGGCTGTCGTCCTTCTCAAGGGGTAGTCCTCTCTCGTTTCGGGACTTGGCTTTCGGTTATTAATGGTTTTCGCGAACTCGGTTCATTAAGGAGGAGCTCACGAAACTCCGCGGCACATTCATGAGAAAGCCACCCCTCCACCCGGGGGGTGAACGTGTCAGAAACGGTGGTCGTGCTCGAAATTAGCAACGTATATTATTTTCAAGAGCCGCGCTGTAACTTCCTCGACCCTTTAACTCCGTTGAATCCGAGCAGACTCGATATTTTGTCGGACGATGGCTTCTTTCGACCACAGAAATAATTAATGGAAAGTGTCCTCGGTGTTCTCTGAACCGTTCAATGTTTCTCGTTATTCTTAGAATTCTTTAACCGTGATGAGAGTGCAATTTCTATTTTTTATTTCAGTAAAGTTGTAGACGAAGCAAGTGTTACGCTGCTCATTAATCACGTACCACGATCTATTGCATTAATATTCAAACAAATCTTGAAAATTTCATAGAGTACTAATTGAATGCATAGATTGTGATCTACAAGAATTTGGAATTTAACATGAAACGCGGAGCTAAAATGTCCCCAAAAAGAATGAGACTCATTCCCGATCCTGTTGACGGTTCGCGGATCCCGAAGAGCCCTTTCAAAGCAGCGCCGTATCAATTTTCCCCCTACCTCGAGCCTTTTTGTCAGCCGCTAGAATTACACGCGCTATTATCGCAAAAAGCTCAACGCAGATAAGAAGCGGGATCCGCGCGCGAGCGGTCCGCCGCTCGCGGAAAGTAAGAGATGAAGACATTATCGTGATCGTTGGCCGCGCGTTTAAGAGTCGCAAGAACGCAAAGGAGACGCTGAGGGAATGAGAGGATGCACCTGTTCACCGTTGCGCTAACAAGGACCGCGACCCAGCGCGCAAAGGCGACGCCAATCCTTTGGAAAATATTTTCTTCGATAACAATACCCAGACTTTTCGTATTTGCGATTACTGTTGTTTGAAATTTCTCAGTCTCAAATTGATACCATTTTCTATATCATGTACTGAAACGTTTGGGCGAAAAAATGATGTTTTGGTAACCTCGACGCGCGAAGTAAGGGCCAGCGATAGGAAACGGAAGTAGAGAAACGAAGGATGGAAACGATTGTCCTTGGGAGCTGTAGCGGTGTTTGTAGCTACAGTTACGGGTATAGCAACCCCGAGGTACCCGAGCTAAAGGGGGGCCAGTGGGTCCCGATTGATGAGATGTAAGAGATACTGCAAACAGTATTCAAATAATGCAGGAGTCATGTAAGACGATGATAAGAAGAATGAAAATAAGCTAGTAATAAGTAAGCAGTAGCGTAATAACTTTGTATAATAAGTTACGCACTTTAAATAAACGAACGAACGAACGATGGAAACGATAGCATCGAAATTGATGAGAACGTCTCAGGCTAAAGGCCTTGGCCCCCGGTTTTCCGTGGCGCTTTTGTCTCCGCTTTCGTTTCGGCTGACTATGACAAATAATTGCCGAAGCTTAACATAAGCCAGAGGCGGTATACTTAGCTAATAGCAAAAAAGAGGGGAGAATTGAGGGAAGTTTTACGTGTACGCGGCCGTAGTCCTCTTTCCGCTCCGCGTGCCACACAATCGCAAGAAATCCCTAGGAAAAACTATCACACGTCGAGACTGTAACGATTATTAAAGCGACAGTGAACTGTCTGATCTTCTATTTTAGAAAGTTCTGAACTCTTAAACAATGCTATTTATGATACAATTTATTTGCGATACATTGTTTGAATATTAATCGAATACTTTCTACCTTAGATCTTTAACAATATATTTTCTTAATATTAATGGAACATTCTTTAAACCCTTTGCAGTATATTTTATGAATTATAATGGAACTTTCATTTCAAATTATAAGACTTTGCACCCTTATAAATAACTCACTGACTAGATTACTTTGAGCGTGGCTCATCGCCCCGAACCGATACCACGGCTTAAAAACCAGCAAACCTTTTAAAACAAGAACACCAGGAACAAAGTCGGTCTGCGAGGAAACGCAACGAAGCCATTCAGAGTGCTCGTGAAAATGCTCGGGGCCCGTTCTGAACGACATAATAATCAACCGGCACCCGAAGATTGCGAAGAGCACTGGTTCCCCGATCGCAGATCCTCTTTCTACCTAACTTATACTTATTATTGCATTATCTTCCCGGCCTAGAATGCCGCGAGACGAGGAGACGAGAAGACTGAAAAAGTCCCGAAGGGAGATGCCCGTCCCGTGAACCCGAGGCGCGTAATCTGCGAGACCATTCGATCGGTAAATGCTTAAACCAACCTTCGTCGGTTTCTCTGAATAGAAAATCTACTTCACCATGGATTAAAACAAAGAAACCTCCTCTCTTTTCCATTGTTAACGCATTCCCATCTATGTTTTTCATTTTCAGATGTTCAAGAAATCCTGCTTTTAAACATTTTTCCTATCACTTTGACTATCCTATTCTTTCCAGCTTTCAATGTCCAGGACATCGTTACCACTCTCTCAAATAGCTATCCATAGTACTGAATTCATTTCGAATAATACAGCATCATAACACTGACCAACACGAGTTAAAAGATTAATCTAGAAAAGTCTGAATAAAATGATCAAGAGTACCAAAACGTCAAAGACGTTTTTTTCCTGTTGGGATGGGCCACCTGGTGCCTCCTTTTCGATTAGAAAATCTTTTCTGGACAATCCTTTTTCGCGTTGTTCAAGCATCCCAGGCAAAACCTTTCCCTCGATCGGGTCTTTTTTCCTGCAGTATCGCGAGAAAGGATTCCGCGGTCGAGGACAAAAGAACAGCCTGGAGAAAGAATGGAGTCTCCGTTGTTTCCTGCTCGCTGGAAAAACATTTCGGAAAAGTCACTCGACCGCGAAGCGCATTTCATTCGATTCCGTGGCTACCAGACTAGATCCGTACACACACATAAGTTGTTCGTGAAAGAAGGGACCCTTCATAAAACAATAGAAGCAAACTTGGTGCGGCTCGTTCGTCGGAAGAAAGTCTCCTTTGACAAAAACTATTATACGCGGAGCAAGAACTAGTATATGTAGCAAAACTGAACAGAGAAAGTATTTTTGGTTATTTAAGTAATTCACGATAGAGGAACATTGACGAGTGTCGTTGCTTTGCTATGGTCGCAGGAAATTTTGTAATATTCAAAATATGGTTTTACATTGGTCACTCCATTTCCTTTCCATTACAGTTCCTTTCAGTCGCTGTTTGTCTGGCGTACCATCCCTGTTAACAATGTTTCTCATTGTTCTAGGGACGGAATTGGTGCCGAGCTGATTTGCATCATCGAGGATCAGGGGATAGCCAATTACCGTGTGGCGGGACGTTCAATAATGATAGTCGATTAAATATAAAATATTTTTGTACACGAGTTATAATATTCTATATATAATATATACATATATATATATATATATAATACGTATAATATGTATGTACAGGGAGCGGCCGAATAACATGTACTAGCGGACACGAGGTGGTGTTCCTTATGAAAAAATAAAAACAAAATGTACAAGAAAACTTTTTCATTTGAAGCTTAGTTTTTCAGAAAATCGAGTTTGAAAATCTTATTCGTACGTATGCTTATAAACAATGTCTACCTATCATTTAAAAGTTATTGAGTTCAAGAAAAAATACACACAAGACTTTTAACGAACAACATTTTATTTTATCAATTACGCAATCTAGCCGTAACAGCATACGTAATAGCATGAACAAATTTTATTCCATATTTTGTTCTTATTTTTTGATAAGGAACCACCTCGTGCCCGCTAGTACATGTTATTCGGCCACACCCTGTATATTATATTATACGAGCTAATTAGCATACGTCATCGAGGACAAGAAATTGGGAAGATAGTGTATTGTTTTCTCTTAATTATTGCTATTATTATTGATAGTATAACTAATATTACTATGACTATTATTATTATTGTTATTATTATTATTAATTATTATTATTAATTATTATTATTATTATTATTATTATTATTATTATTACTATTATTATTATTATTATTATTTTACGCACAGATTGGAGTCGAAGAGAGCTGTAAGTAGATAATGGCGACAATGTAACCCAAAGACAATTCGATGTTTCTTTTGCACACTTCGCGAAGAATTTCAACAATTTAACGAGATGTATCTGAAGGAATGGTTCGAGGAAAAAAGGACAAGGCTGATATTTTTTTCTTGAAATGAAATGGATAATCTTCGTTAGTGAAAATATAGTTTTTCTACTTTCTAGTGGCGATATCTTCGGAAATCTTTTAGAAATTAAATATCTGGTTGAAAAACTAAATAAATTTTTTATATATGTTTAAGGGAGGAAACATATTCGTGGCTGAGGCATTGCGAATATTCAATGAAGTTATTATTATTATTTCTCAAATTTTTTCTTTATTTGCATGACTTGTATGTGCTTTCATAGGAATGCAGCTATTTTCCTTTTTTAAGTGGAAGAGAGAGAAAAATGAAGAGTCACTTTTCTAAGAGACTTCTGAACGATCCATAATAGTTAATATTGCATTTGTAATAAAAGTGTTGCTACGCTGATGAAACGAAATATTAACACTTTGACTTCGGGGCGATTTGGTGTTACAACTCTTTCGGATAATTACTATTTTTCAAAGAAATTTCGAGAGAAAGGAGTATATTATTTTTTTATACAATAATTTACATCTTTTGATATGCAGTCATCGGTGCTTCGCATCTTTTTATGAAGAAATAAATATATGCCACTCTTCTCACGGTAATAACATACTTGAGCCAAAGCGTTAATTAACATTTTTTAAACTGCATCATGAATTTTTACGAACCATCCCTTCCATTATATGCTTTGATAAAAAAATAAACAAACTAAGAAATATGGGAAGTTCGAGAGTAAATCTATTCTGTCTTTAACAAGGTGCTGATAGGATATTATTATTGTAACACTTTTGAGAGATTTTATTCGAGCTAGAGATCCACCAACGCGTGCTGATTTTTACACTTGCATACACGTAGGGAACGGCACATATGTGTACGCAGGTGTGTGTGTGTGTGCGTGTGCGTGTGTTTGTATGCAAGAATATACTGGTGCCAACACGCGACAACTGTGCCGCGTATTTGTACATTACACGAATAATTTTTACGTACTTGAATTGAACAATTTATACGACTGACATTTGCTAAAATAATTTCGGTTCGCTCTGTGAGTTCGAAGCGCAGTTATCTTAAAATGTCACTGTTAATACGTAGAGAATGGTTGCAAGTGCGTTGCAAAGGATCTAGGAATCTTAGAAATAATTTTACTCCTCGTCGTAGAAATTGAAAATAAAAGGCACAGTAGTACTGACTTCCCATTTTCTATTATTTAACTCTTTATCTATCAGAAGTGTATTCCTAGGATTTTCAATTTCAGCTTCAGCTTCAATTTTAGCTCGATCTAAAAAAAAAAACAGAGGTTAGTATACAGGTTGAACATTGTTTGACAAGGCTGGGGGCGTTTCAATTATTTATGGTGAATGTTTACGAGACATGCGTTGAACGAATAGCTGGAAAGAAGGACGAGGTGCTTTTCGTCAAGATTAAGACTCGCATGCGGGTCGTTCGTAACACAAATTACGGAAAAAGCTTGATTGCCTGGCATTTGTAAGGATTAGAAAGAAACGAAAAAAAGGGGATCAAGCGCGAGGAAATCTGGCGCACCCCGAAATAATCTGACTTCCTCGAAATGGAATCTCGGATGTTCAGGTCAAAAGAAGTTAAATATTTTCGAATTCGTTCAGAAGGATTCCATGGAAAAACTGATACAAGATAACAATTTCAGTTTCATTGTGAGTTACTGTCACGATACTGTGAAGAATTTACAAAAATATTGTGATGGAGCAGAATAAGATTTTTGTTACTTTGGTTAAGTTTTACACTTGACACAGAGAGGGTATAGCGATTGACCCTATTCCCGAAAATTGGTAGCTGTTTAATTGATTAAGCCCCGTCGGAAACTCTAGGCGTTCCAACGATTTACAACCAAGTTTAATTATGCGGTAGCAAAGTTTAATGTAGTTAGGTCCATTGAACTGCCGGGCAAGATTGTTTTACGAAGTAAATGAGGCTATGATGACTCGAGGCTTCGGGACCACCTAGAAACCAGCCGTAGTCCTACCAGGCTCGCCTTTAAACTCCTCGACAACTAATTAACGTGCAACACACGACGCCCCCTACGTTCCATCCTTTCGCTTCGATCCTATTGTTGAGCCAAGAACAGAGTCTGTCAGTTTTTGGCGGGCTCTCCACACTTTCTTCTTAATTCTGCGTTAAGTTTCGACCTAGCAAAGAACAGTCGACTTGATCCCTAAAAGAAACACGATTATATCTATTGATCCATGTATTTTAATTTAGAAGAACTTTGTGAAGTCGATTCGGAATGCAGCTGGACTTGCTTCGGATTTGATGTTGCTCGAATAAAATATGGAGTGAAAGAGGTTATAGTTGATGTTTACGAAGCAGGTGTTCAACGATTAACCGCCAAGTAGGACGAGGTGCTTCCTTTCACACTACTCATATGCACACCCTTAACAGAAAAGGAGTCTAACAAGAGAAGCAACCATAAGAGACAGTAAGAGGAAGATAGGGAGAGATACGCGATATATCCGCGCTACAAATGAAACAGTCACACCCCACCTCCCTCGCAACGAGAGATCTCCTTTCATTTGTCATCTCAGCTTTGCGTTTGACTCGCCAGTTTCTCCCCCATTGTCTGCCCGCGCAGAGATAGTTTTGTCCTTCGCAAGAACCGCGCGAAGATCACCAGAGAACGATGTTCCAATGATGGAAGATCGTCCTTTGGGAAAGTCTCGAGATCGACTGTTTTCCAGGTTTGTTCGATGGATCATCTTCGCGACCTTGGCTTCTGGGGACACGAAGTTGTTCCTCAAGGTCGGAAAGATGGCCAACACTTTCTTGTCAGTTCCCTGCGTTTTCTTTCAGGCTCTCCTCGAGGTCCTGTCTCTTTTTTCCATAGGACTCCTTTCTCCACCAGTTTCTGTTTTCTTTCCTGTGGGAGTGCTTTTTGCTGAACGTTGCAGACCGAGGAGCTTCCTTGGTCCTAGGGGTGTCTTCCGAAAAACTCCAGAGGATCTGGCGAGTTGAAGGTTTTTGGAGGATCTACGGTGGATTTGGATCGGTAGGTAGGTAGGAGAACTTGAAACCTGATTGTTTTTCAGGAGTTGAGTTTTAAATTAGAATTCAGTTTGTCATCCCAAAATCGAATGAAAACGAAATAACGTAATAAGGAATGCGCCAGAGGAAAAGCAAAAGGAAAGAAAACCGTTGGTAAAAATCTAACGATCGAGTTTCCTCGGCCCTCAGCGAGCATTCCGTAGTAGTTGGCCGTAAACGGCGCTGACTTCGACCGGGGCAGGAACATGTTAATTAGCGGTAATTAAAGCGCGCTCGTCGACCACTATCCACCGTGCATCGGACGCTTCTGCGTTTCCTCGACGTGGTTTACCTGTTACCTGGAATCCCCTTCGTTTCCTACGTAGACACGCTCTCCCGCAGGACACGCGGGCATAATTAATTTGCCCGCTTCGCGGCTCGCTCGTCGAGGCAATCCTCGCGGATAATTAACGAGGGGATCGTAATTATTGGGTCACTTCGCTGGTCCCTGTGTACTTTTATAACTCGTTGGCGTTACGTGGATGTACGGGGTTGTCCTTCGGGTTGACGCCTGCCTGTGACAGGGGCATGTGGGTGGAATTTTTTAGAGGAACAGTGGAGACTGAATATAGGTCTACGATAACACTTACATGGAGTCACTGTTTCTTCTTTTAATACATTCCTCTATGGCACTTAACTTTTTGAAATTAAACAGAAAAAACCAACAAATTTTCCAAGGATTTTTGCCGTATCCCGCCGCGCGTCTCGGTCGTGTCCTGCGAGAAGAGCACGCGAAACCGCAGATGGCGCTTAACGCGTCAGGGAAAAAGGAGCATAAGAAGGACAAATACAGAGAAACGCATAAACGAGACACAGTCGTTAACCGGGGATGGGTAGAGCAATTCCAGGTTGGAGCGAACAATAAGAAATCATACGAGCCGTCCTCGGCGCGGTGCTCGCGCTATATAACCCGAGCGGCTGCCATATTTCTTCCATTCCACGAATCCCGTGGACGTTGATAACCGATCGATTAATTCGAGCCAGAGTCCCACGTCCATCGCCTACGGTCCCCGATCTCCTGCGCCCCCTTCTTTTTTCCGCAGTGTTCCGGGGCCTCCTCCTTAAGTCGGATCGCAGCAAGATGGCCGCGGGGCCCCCGGTAAATAAGCGACTGTCATCTGACGCCCGCAAAAACCGGATACACCGCGCCAGAGAGACTGGTCTCCGTTCTTCCTCTTCTCTCATCTTCCTTTCTCGCCCCTCTGCGCGTCTCTCCCTTTCTCAATCTTTCTATTCTCTCTCTCTCTCTCTCTCTCTCTCTCTACCTTTATTCCCTTTCAGTTTCGCCCATTCCCTCCCCTCCGGCAGCGTCTCTATCTGTTCTTCATTTTGTCTCCGTTTCTTTTCTTCTTCGCTCACGGCGTCCTCCGCCTCTTCCTGCCGCGTGTTCCGTCGCGATACACCCGAGGATTAATTACAAAAAATCCGCGGCGACGCGAATTGGAAACGTCGTTCCACGAACCACGGCCCCGGAAAGAGAGAGGGTTCGGCGGGGACACCGCGGACGGGGAAGACTTTTTGGCCACCCCGCCGGAAGACGGCCCCAATAAGCGATCGATTATCCCGGCGAACAGGTAGCAGGGTTCAACGACGACAGCTGCCCGCCGCGGCAACTTTCGCTACCGTCGTTCCACGCTGAAATCGAAATCGTTGGTATTCGGGGCGGATTTTTCGGCTGCCCCCTATGCGTCGCTTATTCCAATTGTAACTCGAGCGATCGTTTAACCCTCTATGGGATCCATTGTAGTATCAATTAATTTTTAAATAGATACGCGACGAAGAGATGAGATTAGCCATT